GAGTGCACCATCCTGAACCCTCTGCGATAGACCCTGGGCGAGACGGTCTATGGCTATCATTCCCGATGTCCATGCTTCCAGCACACTTTCATACGAGTCGCGCTTGGAGTTCACCGGTGATTTGATATTATTAAAAATCAATGTCAACTGAATCTGCTGCCGTCGGAAATGTGCGTCTGCGGTTTGGATCCAAGATCGAGCACTTGCATCCCAGGCGGCCAGTTGTTGTCGACTGAAGGTCTGCTTCGCTGCCAGGACCGCGGCCGTCGAACCCATGTTTTTCGCCTGAAACTCATCGATGATTTGCTGCTTCCGACGTTCAACAATTTCGACCCAAATTGAGATAGCCTCGTGGCCCTGCCATATTCTGGCTAACATGCACGCCAAAAGATGTATCGCGAGAGCCCCATCCCCGGAGGTCGCGGCTGCCCAGATGCTGGTGCCGTCAGGTCCGGCCCTGCGGGCAAAGATTCCAGCGTTCGGGTGTTTTTGCATGTCTGCCTTTGCTCTTCTTGAAATGTCTGAGACCCTTTCTCCATACTTGGCCAGAAGATGAGGCGTGCGTGGGATCAGATCTTCGAAGAGTGCCCCAAGCTTCCGGGCCGTGACATGAGCTTGCCCTTCCTCGGCCTCACTTCGCCTATGGGCGGACAAGGCTTGGCCCAATCCTTGATACTCGGCTGGGGCCTCCACCTTCATGAGGGAAAAGTCGAGGTTTAAGTTGGCAGCTGCGACTGTCAATTCGTTAGGAATCGCTGCAAACGCCGCCGTGAATTTAGAAGCCATTTGGAGAGCGCTAGTCGACAGCTGCCTGTGTGACGCGAAGTTCGAAGGGGGGGGGGGGGGGGGGGGGGTGAAAGGGCGGAGGTTGTCAATATATTCTTTTCTTCTAGTGTCAGAGCAAGAGAATGAACAGTGCAGGCTTTCGACAGGTGATATCCGCAGCCACCTTTTAGCTATGAGGGGGGGATAACTCTGTATTCTAGCCCTCCGCAGCCCTTATATACCCGCTCCCGCGGGCTCCTAAGGTACCCTAGGTTTGGGGCTGCGCATGTGCTTCCTGAGATATATCTGCCCTGACTCAGCCCCGCCCCATGAATGGCCGCCAACATACATACGACTCAAGAGTAGCAGCTTGTTTCGGCGAATCAGTTCCATAGCTGCTAGGCATCGTCATGATGTCCATGACCAAGGTCTAATCACTCGCTTCTAAGTGGTCGCCTGGTCAGAATAGCCTGTTTTGTGACGAATTCCTCACCGAAGTCTGCCTTGGTTGGCGCAGTGCGGACAATCAAAGGCATGAGGACTGCGTACAACGCAGAATACTAGGTACTTGCTCTTTTGTTTCCTCAGGAGACCATGAGCATTCGGGTGGATCGAACGATTTCATCGATGCATGACTAACAGGTCTATCAAAGGCATACCGAGCCTGCTTATTCGTGAAAGGTGGAGTTGCTCACCAGTGTTGTGTGAGCGAACATTGACGTCACGCAATAACTTCGATGCTTAACAATGAAAACGAAGTCTGCTGGAAAAGAATCGCCGAAAAGTTCATGCCTGCCCGACGGAGCGGAACACGGATCGCACCCTCTGAGTCGAGCCACATCCAGCTTTCCTAAGGCGACCCTTTCGTATCATCCATCATGGCCTCGTACGAAGTAGCAACAGGAAGGGTTAATGAAGTGGCCGCACTGACAGCAGGAAACTCGCGAACGCAATGTATTGCCCTCCAGAGAGCCGTCGGCAAAGTTGTAGCCAAGACTTTTACAGCCTTGTTGCCACACCAAAGTCCGACACATCGGCTATGGATGGAGACGTGGTGCCATCAAGTGCCACAAGAAACGCCTCCATCGATCATGCGGTGGTTTTGGAGGTCTGTGGCACGATAGCTGCAGGACATGACCCAGGGCTTCATGAAAGTCACATTGATTCCTCGACACTGCCGTGCTTTGACATCATGACTGGCGGAGTCTTTCCAACCAAACGTATCTCAGGCTATCAAATGGACGCGTACATCAAGATAGAAGAAACATCAATCATGACGGACGTCAAAAATGTTCGCGGTAGGATGATCAAGCTCACAAGACCGGTCGCCGCCAGGGAACACAGACGTGTTGCAGGTGACGATATCAAAGATGGCACTGCACTTCTTGTACCTGGGATGACGGTCCAACCAGAGCACATTTTGGCCCTAGCTTCAATAGGAGTGACTGAGTTTTGGTCTGGAAGAATCCTCGCGTCGAACTTGGTCTTCTGGAAAAGATATCGCAACAACCGACCCTGGCCACGTTCCAGATGCCAACGGCCCGTACCTCGCCGCGGCTTTGGCGGAGGCTGGGGCACACGTATTGTTTCTCGGACCATTTGCGGACGATGCCCGCAAGATGGCAATAAAACTTCGGCGAACGGCCGAGAGTGAGCACTTCTACCTTTGAATCACGGCCGGCGGCGTACCAGCTGGGAAATTCGACTTCCTATTACCGTCATTGCGCAGCCTTGACGCCGCCATAGAGTTTCATGGGCTACGGATACTACCTGGTCATCCTGTGCTGTTCGGAACAATCTTTCGTGAGGAGCTCACAGCGTGCCTATCTTCGGCCTGCCTGGAAATCCAGGGGCAACTGCGGCATGCTTCCAGTTTCTCGTGCGGCCTTTTATGAAATGCCTCCAGGGCTAGCCCCCCGAAAAGCCGATCATCGAAAAACTTCTTCCTCGACGGCTAGAGCAAGATTATGCCGGCAAAATGCCAGACGGCACGGGCTCTCGTACATTATTCAGGCATGGGAAGCTAAAATAGATGCCAGATGTGGGTTTCCTCGTGGAAATGAGCAAGGAGCAAAGCCCAGCTAAAGTTGCATCCTATCTCGATGCTAATTGCTGGATACAGCTTAATGAAGGGAAAATATTGGATGAGAAGGAGCTTGATGTTGTATGTTCTCCTTTTAGAGGGTTCAACATTCCAAGTACATGATAGGGGTTGTCAGATCGTCTGTGTAATCAATCACTCTTGTCCAACCCCGAGATCTGTACTTCTGACAAACCAGAGTCTTCCCACCTTTACAGGACTTGCGCCCATTCTTCCGCTGTGTTGATATTCGAAAACCACGAGTCACGACCCTCTGGCACTTTCAACATGTGACCCTCAACCTCTTTGACTCTTGCCGAAAGGCTCAGTCTCCCTTCTGCAACTCTTTGTTTGAGTATGCGTAATGCTTCCGGGGACCACAACCCGAGCAGCGGCTCACAGAAGCCTTCAGAGGATCTGAAGCACTTGACAGGTTGATAGGGATCATGCAGCAGTTTCTGCAGAGCTTCTGCCGGGACGAGTGGATAGTCGCAGGCCACTACTAGCCAGGAAGCCTCTGGATCGTATGCATGAGCCGCAACGAGCCCAGAGGCAAGACCAGAAGAGATGTCGGTCCCATTGGGCGACTGATCCATGAGTATGAATATAGAATTGTCTTGAGCACCACAGCTGTTCGGGAGAGATACGTCCATCCTGTTGACGACTTTCAGGCTGGAGAGCATCCCGTCTTGCTGCGACTCCCGGGCGAGCGAGATGAATATCTGGCAACTTGGCAGGACGGATCGGATGAGTTGAAGCTGATGACGATACAATGGCGTCTGTTGTGGCGTTTGGAGCAGATGTTTCGGCTGACCGAGTCTCGATGACTCGCTTCCGTGGCAGTCAGTGCGAAAGTCGCTGATACGATTCCGGGGAACAAAGAAGGTACTTTCACCAATACTGCGATGCTCTCCCAGACGACTACACGTCAGCCCTCAAGACCTTTATTCGACACGTTCCATAGAAGCTACAATTGGCCACATAAAACCGGCCCGGACCCTGACGCTTCGGCTCGTCAGTGCCGCATCATTGGTCTAGGGGGACCGGAGCGTCGCTGCTTTCCAATAGAAGTCGCCTTATTGCTCAATTGGTTTGTGTTTCCAAGCTCTCAATATTCACCCTCTAGCCATTCGGTCCTCAGAGTCGCATCAAACTGAAACCATGCATCATGCCGAAAACTCGGCGAACCGCCGGCCCACTGCGGCCGAGGCAGCATATGGGACATTTACGGCCGTCGGACGCCATACACGCATAAGCGGCCGACTCGCGTCGACCACGCCTACGACGAGGAGCCGGAGAAGTGGGTGCAGAGCGCGTATGTCCTCTGTAGCACCGGGTGCGGTCTCGACATTGTCGACAAGGACGGCAAGGTCGTCGGCGTTCGGGGCAGGGCACCGCATCTGGTGAATAAGGGGAGGCTCGGGCCCCAAGGGGCTTCATGGGTGAGTACGCTCATAGTCTATGCACGGATGCAGCAGCTGAACTTATCACCGGGTGGAAGGGCATCAACAGCTCTGATCGCTCACAGCGCACCCTAATCCGGCGGAACAGAAAGCTGGAACGCGCCACCTCGGACGGGGCCATGGGCCTCATTGTCAAGAACTCCAAATCGATGATAAAGAGACTAACCAGTCACAGTACAGCCTTCTATACGAGCGGGCAGCTGCTCCTCGCGAATACTAAGCACTGGCCTTGGTCGGGAAGGTAGGCTGGCATACACTTTACATGTAAAGCGAGCCTAACTCAATGTTTGGATGACGATTAATGGAAACGGAGGGACCGGAATACACGTCTGTGCATGGCTACAGCAGCTGCGCCGATGTCGTCCTGCCAGCGGCGCGATAAGGCGAAAAAACTGTGTATTCAGAAGAAAGACACAATAATCGTCAGGTCACGGAGGGGTGCGATTGAGGTACAGGCTAGGGCTGGCGGTATCAAGGTTGGACAGGTGTTCTTGCTATTCCACCTGGGATGATGGGATGCCAAAGACGGAAGGGCGCGGGGTACGATCGAGCTCACAGTTGGTAAGACGTGACCTGCTGTGTTCATGCTTTAAATCGTGCTGACGGACGCAGAGCGATGGGACCCTATTTCGAAACAACCAACGATTGACGCTGGTGGCGTCCGTATCGAAAAGGTGACTGACACTGGAAAAATGAACGTTTCCGAGCCTCAGTCTGTAGCCGAGGTCGAAGCATCAAACAAGTCGGCTCCTACCTCCATGACTGATGAAGAATCCATGCGCAAGCGACAAACGGAAGAATGGCTTGGTGAAGCCTACGAAAGCATCAAGCCCCTCTCCGAGATTTATGGGTACCTGATTCCTGATTCTGATCTCGTGCACGATACTGAGATCGAAGCAGGGCTGCGCGTCCTCCGCCGCGTTGCTGAGTGCATGCGGCGTCGATTCGAGACGTACATCCTCGAACTGGGCGAGGACAGCCAGCGCGGCAGCAAGAAAGCGAAAAAACTGAGAGACGCACTGCTCACGAGTCGAGATCCGCAGCGCAGCCCGCACGAGGTGATGGATACACTACAGGCGCTGCATGTCTGGCTGGCTCACATCGATGGTGGCTTGACGGCGCTGGTGCCAGTCAGCCAGGCCATGTGGTATCAGGGGTTCTACGATGCGGTAGTAAAGGGGAAGCGGAGCTTGTCAAGGATGCAAGCCTGAGTCGAGCAGCAGATCAAAGTGAGGGCGCCGCAGACGCTGCTATGACCTGCGTGGAAGGGTGTCGAGGACAAGGAGAACGGAGGCGCTGGCATCTGAGCATCTGAGCATCTGAGCATCTGATTAGCTCGCTCCTGGTGTTGTTGTGCAACGGCGAAATCCCCTGCCATCGATAGGCAACTTCGGTAGCCGTGTTCGTCGGGCCGGCCTAGAAGCTGCTGTCAGAGAACGTGAGTGCCTCATGCTAGCTGTCAGTCCCTCGTGTTGGGTCACTGAGAGACCTCTCTGATGAGGATTTGCCCATCCGATGCTTTTCGGACCCGATTCGCATCTGGGCGACTAGTAGGAATCGGAGTAGAAAGCTGTGTAACACAGAGAGAGGAATCATCCGAGATGCAGTTCACAGCGCTGTGTTCAGCCTCGTACTAGGTATCATGATGACAAAGCCAGGATTCTGAGGAAACGGTGGCAGGAGCCACTGATTAAGGGAAGGTATTATTGTCATCGATCGCAGGCAGTGGCTATGATGATGCTGGCAAGGAAAGCGCAGGCATACACAGTGTGTTGATCTCGTGTCCGCAGTTTATCATTGGGTGCGCATCGGCCATATAGGTGTAAATACAGTGCGCTCCACATGAATTTGATCGATAATCAACATTTTCGGAGGCAGCCGTCTCAGGGCTTGCTCCTTCAGACGATGCAAGGAGACATGCCTTGTTCGCGATTCTATCGACTTCTTCCAGTTTGGGATTGCATCCCTCCTCTCATTTTTGGTCACCCCGGCCGGCCACACGACGGACAGCCTGCATCCAGGAAGATGGAGGTCAAGAACTCAGCGGTTCATATCTACCCAGGAGAGATGGGCCCGGGCCTGCCGAACCCACTTCGCTAATCATTTAGTAGCTTGCTCGCTCGTACATGATCACGTCAGACTCATCTCGACACCCTTTCGTCTGGGATTACGCGGGTTCGGATTCCTCCTCCCTGTCCGCCTCATCTCAAAAGCGCCAGCAGCAAGCCCCAGGTCAGAAGCAGTCCCGCTGGCGCGACAGATCCCAGCAGATAAGGTTTTTGTCTCGACGCAGATCAGCTTTCCCACCGCTAGTATGCTGACGGACAGCGACGACCGACGCGAACGGACGAATCTGCTGATGCCACGGCCGTCGTGCAACGGCGACGACGTGAATGGCTGTTCGCCGCTCTCCATTCGAACATGTTGCTATCTGACGCGCACATCTGATGACTATTGGCGCACAGGCGAGGCGGCCGTTACTTTTGGCAATCCATGTTTCAGTCGCGCTGCCGCGACGGTACAGTGGTCCGTAGGATTCATCTCCACCCGCCGAGCTTTTGTTCTTCTGAATTCTGGGTGGTGGGTGGAGTTTGGCGTCTGGCGTTTGGCGAGGTACTCTTGTCTCGGTTGATCGCGCCCATCTGACAAATTCTCCCTGAGCCAAACTCCGCGGCGATTCCGGGGCTTGCCCTTGCATCTTCACTTCGCATTCCATCGTTCTTTCTATCTGCTTCTGAGGTCGTCTGTCGACTGCCACAGTGTACCCCTCCGCATGCTATCTTGGCAGTTGGCCTCAGCGTTGGGGGTGCGATTGTGCCATGGTGCGATGCAGTGAAGGGACGGAACAGAGCGGATCCATCTCCCTGTAAGTCTCCGTTTGAGCTGTGCAAATGTCTCCGATGAGCTCAACCCCTCGTCGCCTTGGCTGTTTGAACAAAACATCATCGTCAGCAGCCCTACTGCAGACGATCGCGTACGTCACAGGGACCAAGTTGCGAACTGGTGAGAGACACGGGCTGCTGGACGCGACGGAGACCACAAATGATGCCTGGAGTTTGGTTAAGCCCGGCGGCTCAGCTGCACCAACACACACCCTCAACAGCGGCCAAATTCCATCCATCGGCAGAAACCCATGGTCGGAAGAAACCCACCCACGGAGAAAACCCATAACTCCACGGGTGGTACCCCTCGAGCGCGCTAACGCCATCCAAAGTCCGCAAGCCAGCATCTGCAAACTCCATCGCCCTCACTCCCAAGTCAAGGCCAATGTGGAACGGGCCACAGGGCAACGGACATGGGCATGGGCCACACACTTTGTCCGCAGAAGCGCGCTAGCTAGCCAGGACGCAGGCCGACTTGAAGCCCACAAAGCACGAGGATGCTGGATTGCTCATCTCATCTCGCCATCCACCAGGCAGCCTCCCCTTGGCTAACGGACAAAACCCACCAGCAGATCATCTCACCACATCGATGCCCGGATTGGGCCACCGTGCTGCAGCTCGACAAGGGAGGGATTCTCGCCTTTTCTCGTAGGGCTTACCGGCTACCATGACATCCTGACACCCCGCCCAGCGATTACCAATAAGCATGTTGGTGCCCAGCCGCTTGCTGCCCGCGTATAAGCTGCGAGGGCATGGTACGTACCCAGCAGTGTACCTCGTCGTCGTGCGCAATTCTGCCGCTGGACACAGGTCGCCTGGCCTGGCCATTTCCAGGCAAAACATGGCACACATGTACCACCACCCCTACCCGGCCAGATGAATCACCCTCTCTCTCTATCCCTGTCCGCCCGAATCTCCGTGGAGCCGGCATTACCAAAGATGTCTCCGAACACGTGCATTGGTCACCTCGAGACTCTCGGTCTCGGTCCTAAGCCCGGGCGAGAACTTGCTGCGCAGGAGGGACAGAGTAGCCATGGGCAGAAACAGACGAGGTGGACCCCCTGCCCTTGCGGAACTGAGGCAGAAAGTATGCAGAGATGATGTGAGGCAGACCGTTATGGTTGTCTTGGTAAGACTCTTTCTTCATCGCAGTGGAAAGGCAGTGCTACATAAGGCACGCCCCGAAGCCATCTTACACGGCCCATCCCTTCCTTCAAGCCTCACACACTCTTGCATCGCGGGTCCTTGCTCTCTACCAACCTTGTTACGGTAGCACGACACCACATCAGCCCTGACTTGACCTCACCCAACCCATCAACGGACACAAACGGGCTTTCTCATCATGTCTCTGACCGCCAGCAACCTAGGGGGCAATCCTGAGAAGGAACCCGAGAGGTCCCCTTCCGTGACACCATCGGCGTATGAAGAGGCCAAGAAGGAGTATGGCTCGACCACCGACGTCGACGAAGAGGCACAGACGCAGACGCAGCCAGACAAGGGTGTCGAGGACGCCGCACCGGCGGAAGGACCTCAGTACCCTACAGGCATGCGCTTGACTTTCGTCTTCGTCGCCCTCATGCTTAGCATCTTCCTTGTTGCCCTCGACATGACCATCGTCGGCACAGCCATCCCTAAGATTACCGACGAATTTAAGCGCCTGGACGAAGTGTCGTGGTACGGTGCCGCCTTCTTCATGACCGTCGCCGCCTTCCAGTCAACCTGTAAGTGACTTCCCGAAACTGGCCCACCTTGAGGTCACCATGCTGATAAGTGGTTCTCTCTCAGGGGGCAAGGCGTACAAGTACTTCCCGTTGAAGATTAGCTTCCTCATCTCGATCGCCATCTTCGAAGTTGGTTCGCTCATCTGTGCCGTCGCCCCGACCTCCATCGCTCTCATCGTCGGCCGTGCCATCGCCGGCGTTGGTGCCGCAGGTATCGGTTCCGGAGCCTACACCATCATAGGATTCGCCGCGCCTCCGGCCAAACGCCCCGCATACACTGGTGCTATCGGTGCTTCATACGGTATTGCCTCGGTCATCGGCCCCATCGTTGGTGGCGTTTTTTCCGACCACGTCACTTGGCGGTGGTGCTTCTACATCAACCTGCCCATCGTGCGTTGCCCCAGTCCCTGAAACCCATTCCGACTCCCCAGACTGACTTGACTAGGGCGCCGTCTCTGCTGCCATCATTCTGTTCTGGTTCCAGACACCTCCTCATGCCATTCCCGTTGAGGCACCTCTGAAGGAGAAGATTCTTCAGATGGATCCCCTTGGCACTGCCCTCATCATGGCTGCCACCATCTCTTTCCTGCTCGCTTTCCAGTACGGCGGCGTTGAACATGCTTGGGACTCTTCTGTCGTCATTGGCCTCATCGTCGGCTTCGTCCTCATGGCTATTGCGTTTGGTGTACTTCAATGGTATCAAGGCGAGCGCTCCATGATTGCCCCGCGCCTCATCAAAGACCGCACGCTATACATCTCCAGCATTTACATGTTCTTCTACGCTGGCGCCTACTTCACCCTGATCTACTATCTGCCCATCTACTTCCAGTCGGTCGACAACCAATCCCCCACGCAATCCGGTGTGCGCAATCTGCCTCTCATCATCGGTGTCACCATCGCTACCGTTAGTTCTGGCATCTCGATCACCATGTATGGGCACTACACACCCATCCTCGTCGTATCCGCTGCCGTCTCTACCGTGGCGGCTGGCCTTATTTACACGCTCGACGTTGGTAGCGGCAGCGGCGAGTGGATTGGTTACCAGGCTCTCGCTGGCCTGTCCTGGGGCGCCTCGTTCCAGATTCCGATGATCGCCGTCCAGGGTACCTCGACACCCGAAGACCTCGCCTCCAAGACAGCTATTCTGCTCTGTAAGTTTCGCCCGTGGCGCTGACAGCTTCGGCATGACCATCTTCGCTAACACCAACCAGTCTTCCAGATTATCGGCGGTGCTTTCTACGTCGCAGGTGCTCAAGCTGGTTTCCTCCAGACCATCCTCAAGACCCTTCGCGATACAGCTCCCCAGATTTCCCAAGAGCAAGTTATCTTGACTGGCGCAACTGAAATCCGCAACGCCTTCCCCACGGACGTCGTTCCGCTTGTCATCGAGGCTTACATGGACGGTCTTCGCGTGACGTTTGCGCTTGTTATTGCCGGCGCGGGTGTGGCCTTCGTAGCGAGCCTTGGGTCCAGGTGGAAGAAGCTCGACACCAGCAACCTGTCTGCTGGCGGCGCGGCTTAGACGTTGCAGTCTATGAGGAGTCTTTGATGAGATGAATGATGGATAGCCGGAGGAGTCGGGTTTGGGACCGAGAGTAACGGATATAG